AGTTTACAAGATCTATTGGTACTTGAGCAGTTAATGGTTATGTACATTAGCCATATTCCATTACTGTTTTGTTCATTATTATCATGAACATTTTCACACTTTGTGGTTCGTTTCCCGGTTAGTCAGCAAACTGTAAACTGAAAGTCGCTAGCACACTGCGATGTAAATTTTGATTATAACACATTAAAATTACTGGATTGTGTCAATTGGATCTACCTAGTAAAAAATTCTTCGGCTTGGATTCGTCGTGGAAAAATCAACTAAATTATCATTTTCATTTAACATTTTTATTTTTAGTATACACACGAGACATGACAAGTATTTGACATGATAAATCCTTCATCGTGTTATATATCCTAAAAGTTTATGAAAAGGGAAGATAATAAAATTAGTCAATATATATAATAGAGTTCATATCAATTTTGAGGTTTCGTAAGGACAAAAAGGTAGGCAAACACAGGCTTCACCTACTAACTCTCCAGAATTTATTAATCACCATTATTACTTTTATCGCATAAGCAGTTGCAGTAAAAGCACTGATATTTTCTTAAATATTCCATATCTATATTTTCATTCGTACTTTTGTTGCCGCTCATTTTGTTTTCCTTGCCTTTATTCCCTCGATTATCCCTCCATTTTTTCATGCAAATTCCATGAAGTCCTTGTCTGGGGGGGGGGGTAGGATTTAGGGTTGAGGGTGGTCGGAAATGAGTTATGGTTAGTTTCATATTCGTATACGAGTGTAGAATTACCCACGTAAATATACACCCAGCGACGAAAAATTAGGCAGCGAGCGAGGCGCGAACTCCCGAGTCTCCCTGACGCTGTGTTGGCGATTTTCACCCTTCCGAACTCTCGCTTTACAGGAGCGTATATGACACATTGTATTATGGAGGATAAAGGTGACTCATTATAAGATTCTTCACAAAGTAAAATATATATGTGGTATGAAAAGACGAAGATGAAAAAATAATCACAAATATGTTTAGGGTCGATAATAATACATGCACAGTTATTAGTCTCTAAATAAATTGAACTCGCACGAATAGATTTTCTCTTGGATTGGGCCCTTTCGGACAAGTGCTGGGTTGGACTTTTCTGATTGCAATCATATTTACGCTTTCAGTATCAACTAAATAATCGGTTTAACGTAGTTGTTTTATAATAATTCGGTTTTACCAGTATATATAGGAAAAAAAATTAATGTAACGCTTGTGTGACACATTTGTGTAAACTTGTAAGATAGGCCTACATATATTTGATATCTACTTGTATTGTTACATCACAAGAAGCGTTCACGGCAAACGAATATAAGCGATTCGTATTTCAAAATAACAACGCTTTCTGAACAGTTATTTCTAACGGACAAAAACAACTCAAAGTCCCTCTATAACCAGTACTCCGCGCGTGACTAAACGTTTATCGCTCGTTTCGAGGCGGGGTCACGTGGCTGGACGATGCGAGAGTGGACTGAAAATATAACGAAATAAATAAATCGTTACGGATGTAACGAATATGCGAATGACCACAGTATTTGTAAGTGCACGCATGTACACATTTGTGAACACGCAAAATACGTGTACATACACTCAAACAACCAAAGTCGAAAGAGAAATTATATGCATACCGACGAGGCTTCTTCTGATCAGATAACTACTAATATAAATGTACATGTGAACATGTATACATGTGCCCACATGTAGGTCTATACACCCTTACACACTAATATCCGCACGTTTGCATATATTCACTCATGTTTACAAATGCGTGTATGGATGTAAGTATATACACACACATGCGCATATACACCTGTAAGTATATGTACTCGTACACTTACATTAATTCACATGCGTATACACATGTAAACGAGAAAATACCAATAAAAGAGATGTAAAACAAGAAACAACCGATTTCATAAAGGGTCATCTTGTCTCAATGTCTGGGTTGAACTGAGTCATTTTTGTTTGTTTTCTATACTTGGAGACTAACATGCATATCTTTATGCAATAAGGTGCGTTTCAAAAAGAATTGATAGTAGTTTTCTACGGTAATGAGAATAATAAAAGATTCAATAAATAGTTACAGGAAATGAACTTCAGATATCCATCTTTTGTTTGTTTCTTTTTCGATCTTTAGTTGATCCCTCGTTCTAGAATTCTTAACCGACAAAATTTTTGAATGTATCGTTGTAAACCTCATGAAATGCGATAAGAACTACTTATCGTCGAAATGTTGGTCTCATCAAAACACGCGAAATGTTGAAATATGTCATATTTACAAAAATCAAGGAAATCTGCAAATCCGTTTTTTATCTTTGAACATTTATCGATCTGACCCCCCCCCCCTTCATTTAGGGACAGCCCTCCTAATTTCCTCTTCCTTTCCCTTCCATCTTCCTCTTTCTCTTTCTCCGTAATTCTATCGTCAGCTTCTTCCTCCTCTTTATGAAGTTCTCTTCTACGATTAACGGTGTACAAACTGTCAAAGCAAGGCAATGTCTAACAAACCAAAGATGATTTAACCTAAGCCAGTTGAATCTAACGAGTCTTACAAACCAAAGAAAATTTTACCTTTGCCAATTGAAACTAACGAGTAACGTTTGGTTTTCCGTTACGTGAGGTTAGGTAAGGGTTTGGTTACGTTTAGATTAGTTAGTTAGTCTTGTTAAAATTTTTAGGTTTAAGTGGAGAGGAGAGCAAATCTGCTTGATTAACATACATGTTTATAGACAGTCAGGGTATATGTATGCTGTACGTCATGCATACATCCATACGCAGACATACACATATATGCATACCTACACCACACACACGCACGCACACACACACACACACACACACACACACACACACACACACACACACACACACACACACACACACACACACACACACACACACACACACACACACACATTTATGTTAATATACAAACAACCAAGCACCAAAGTCTTATCATACCTTCACTGAACCATAAAATAAAAAAGGTTATCCAGCGTTAAGATAAATGACGTTACTAACGACATGAATGAAAATAATAATCGAAATAATAATTTTGTGGACGAATATCTGTAACCCACGTCTGGTTTGTTTGTTTTCTTTACATACCAAATTATTTTCTTTGTGTATAATGGCCTGCTACGGCAATTTAAGCCATTCATGTCGATATTGACATCACCGTTTCTTTATTGGTATTACTAAGTATGACTTTTGTGAACTTTGTGACTTGACAGCGTAACGTGTAGGCATTTTTCACCATTGTTTGTGGCTATTGCCATCTTGTTGCTTTTATAGGCATTTTCATAATTGCTGTTATTGATATCATTGCAGTTCTCATTATAACCTCTATTGATATATTTTATTATCTCCTCTATTATTATTGTTACTAAAGTGTGATCATTGTATCACTATTTTAATTTATCACTTTTTATCATCATTATCACTTTTATTGATATTATCATCAGTTTATCACTGCATTACCACCTGTATTCTCAGTATCATTAGTTCCAATCATCATCCTCATTCTATTTTTTATAAGAGAATTAGTATCATTAGCATCATATTTGGTTTTCTATATTTTGTCGGTTTTCCAAGCGCCCAGCTATATAGGCTTAGTGATTTATCATAAACTAAATAAGATTATGGTTATAATACTTGCTTCGTAAAGTGGAAATGTTTCTAGTCTCATTATTAGATAAAATTATGAATAGTATCAACCCTGTGCAACTGCGTAACCGTTTAAAATATATACACTGTTTTGTATGAGTAAACAGGTAACCCCCCCCCCCCCCACTCTTTCCTTAAGTTTCTTTAAGGATTCTTATGAAAGTAAACTGATTCTGCACTTTGTCAAACAACCGATGTGCATTCGTATCGAGTTTATTATAAAAACACTTTTCTTTAACGAATTTTGACCAAAAGCTTGCGTATTCAGGCAATGTTTCAGAATGGGGCCCACCAAATGAACTGCATAGAGTACGGTAGCTATGGTCATCTGCATGCACAGAATGATAGGATCTTTGCCACTAAAAAATAATTCAGGGTATTTATTAATGCTTGGATAATAGCTTACGCATCGTCTCTCCTGCCTTGCTTATTGTTTCTAATCTGAGGTCGTCTGTACCCAATAGAGTTTTTAGTTTTCCCTTATATTTGAACTAAGACTGAAGAATACTTGATTGATCATTTTAATTATCATTATCAGCAGCAGTAGTAATATACTCATTATTAAATATATGCTTCTCAAAGAGAGTGATATCGACGCTCGGAGGTCAATGGGACCTCTCTATGCCTAGGGTCGTTGACTTGCCAAAGGATCGAAAGCTTGTCAACAAAGGTTTGATGTATAGCATGGTCACGGGTTTCGAAAACGGTTGGAGGGAAATGGAATTGTAACAAAATAGAGGCAAAAGTGAATGAAGAATTGAGTAGAGGTAAATAAAATTTGATAAAGTCTAATGTAGAATCAGCCTAGTTTTGGGTGGTTCATGTAGGTTTATAGAAGTTCATACACTTGTCCCTGGTGTGTTTTAATAAGGTGTGGAGAGTGCATGGATACACTGCCTGCCCATTGGTGGTCCCACACTCACAGTTTAACAGAATTTCTAGTTGTTATCCAGTGAGTGGGACTCAGATCCTTGTTAGAAGATTTAAGTGATGCTTTTTTATCCTAACAGATATTTCCATAGTTGATTCACTGCAGTATACCATTATCAGTATCATCATAATCACGAATTATGACCATCATTATCATCACCATTGCCATTACAATCATTTTCATAACCAATATCATCATATAATGACCATTGCTGAAGTAATCCTTTGCCATCTTTTATCATCATAATTTTATTTTTCACTATATTTTTCTTATGTTCATATCATAATAATCACTATCCTGACATGAAATTTCAAGACGATATATTTTATGGTGATTAAAAGCAGTACAAATAAATGGATGAATTTGCATAAAATATGAATAGACAGAAGAAAGTGTAACGGAAGAGGATATGATGTAGAAGTCGATGAGAAGAAAAAGAAAGAAGAAAAGAGTAAAATAGATAGGAATAGAACATATATAATATACAATATAATATATAATAATATATTATGTATATATATATATATATATATATATATATATATATAATGATGGTATTATCAACAATAGTTACAGTAAAGTACGCACATACTCTTAAGAGATGCATGATTATGTACTGTTCTATATCATAAAAAAAACGTATTTTCTTTTCTCTCAGCTGAAGTAAAATTCAGTTAGTGAAGATAATCTATTCGTTAGTTTGTGAATGTTTGTAACTGGAACACATACGTTACTGACGTATTAACAAATGTCATATATTATGTCAATACTGTATTATTGCTTGTACTGTAGATATTTTATATAAGCGTTCGGATTCACGATTTTCTACTCTCCCTATTATACTTATCATTATTAGCACTATTAGCATTAGAATTATCATTATTAATTTTATCATCATTATTATCATCATTATCAATATCATTAACATTATCATCATCATCAGTGCTTTTGTTGTTTTGTTAATATCGTTGCGTTGTTATTACCACTAATATCAATTAACACAACCCTTATATCTTGACCATTAGCACAAAACAACTACCGAGTCAGCTGATCATTGCCAATGTCCAGATATCATTCCGTTTATGGTTGAGTGGAATTTCCTGCCGACCTGAGTGACCCATGGCCGCGAGAGGTCATATTATTATCATTGCTTTTAAATAATTATTTTTTATCTTTGTGACCATCGTTATTATATTATATTATGATTATTATTATTATTATTATTATTATTATTATTATTATTATTATTATTATTATTATATATTATCAATATTATTATTATTATATTATATATATTATTATTATTATTATTATATCATATTATCATTATTATTATATTATTATCATTACTACTACACTACTACTACTACTACTACTGATATTGTTGGCATAGTAGTAGTAGTAGTAGTATTGTTATTATTATTAGTCATTATTTTTTATTAATGTTTTTCCTATTATCATTATTGTTATTATCATTACTATTATTATTATTACTATCATTATCATCACCACTATCATCATCATCATCTTCATCACCACCATCGTCATCACCATCATCATCATCATCATCATGTGTGTGTGTGTGTGTGTGTGTGTGTGTGCATGTGTGTGTGGTGTGTGTGTGTGTGTGTGTGGTGTGTGTGTGTGTGTGTGTGTGTGTGTGTGTGTGTGTGTGTGTGTGTTGGTTTGTATGTATGTATGGACACGTAAATATACATATGTATATATGAATATATAATATATGTATATATAAATATTTGTTTATTTATTTATTATCTATTTATTCATTTACTGTCAAATCTCCCATCCATTGATAACCTTTTGTTTACCATGGATCAGCTGATTCCACGAAAACCATGCTTGTTTTGAATTGGCGGAGTTCAAACAGTCGTCAAAGTTATTAGGCTGTTTTACGTAATTTCGTATAACTTCATAATGAATACTTATATTAAAATGTTGTTCACATGAAAAGGTAATATTGCCCAGTTTCTACGTCTTGTTAGATTTTAATGATAGTGTTAAAAAGAGTAACTGGAAGAAATGATACTTCAGTGTGGCAGTAACAATTTGTTTATTAACGTAAAAATAACGCTTAATAGACCTTTTTTTCATATAAAAGTGATGTTCAATAGTTGGATGTAACAACATGACATGACATGCTTTTGTGGTAGACATATGCTATATACATTATTTTGATAGCATAAACATTGTTTATTTGTTTACACTGAGGTTTGTGTGTTTTCACCTTTGACATACATACTTACTCAGTCTGTAAAAGTCCCCAACTTGAAAGATTAAGCCATTGTACCTCATCCACAAACTACGACAAAGATTTTGTATAAAACCAAAATTCTTCCTACCACCTACTGATTGACATATTTCCCGATCATTGTTTCTCCTAAGCCAGTGTAAGTATGTAGTAAAAAATTGTTCATGCATCACTGTAATGAGTTACGTACTACTTCATACATAGTGAGCAAATAATTAAATGCATATTACAGATACACAGTATTAGCCTTTCTCAAATTTGTGTGAGGCCCGACCCAATGAACATTCATTATACGGACGTGCATATACACTGAAATAAATGCATATCTATGAGTGTATTTATTGCAGTTTTTGAATCTCTATCAAGCACTGAGAAAAACAGTAGATCTTCACATTACCCTCCTGCCCATTGACAGTCCCACACTTCCTCACATACACACTTTCTCATACTCTCACAGACTTATACATAGACATTGAGTGTAAATGAATAAATGTGGTGAGTGTTTGTGTGAAACTGGGTTGAAAGTATGTAACCATCGATGGATAGGTGTAAAGAGACCTATAGAAAACAAGGACATCCATGGACATCTACAAGCCTACAGTGACCCCGTGAACTGTTACCTTGCTATTGTTGACCCCCATTTGACCCCCTACTCATTTATTGACAGCCTGTGGAGTCCATGACTCATGTTTGAGTCCTTAGATGATCCCATTGACCCCATGGCTTGATATGACCACTTTGAGAACTTGTTTTGAAATTTCAAAACTATTTTACTGCTGTATTGCAGTGTTAGTAACTGACATACATTTATGATCTGAAGATATATATGTGAGGAAGATAGCTTTCACACACACACACACACACACACACACACACACACACACACACACACACACACACACACACACACACACACACACACACACACACACACACACAACACACACATACAACATACACCACACACACACACACACACACACACACACAACACACACACAACACCACACACACACACACACACACACACACATTTACATACATACATACACATTCACAAACCATGTATTAGTGTATCATTAACACATCATTGAGAGACCAGCCCAATATATTAATATCTTTTGTATAAGGTCATGATATCCTTCTTTTTTTTTCTTCTTCTTCCTCAGGATTTATCATTTGCAGGAAACAAGATGATTGAACCATATGAAATTGCAGAGGAGAATAAGGAAGCATATACACAATTATGCCAAAAATTTCTCCAAAGCCAAGGCCTGTTTCAGTGCCAACACAGAGATTGGATGTCGAAGGTGGACCTAGAAGAAGACCTTAAAGAAAGGGTGGAGATAGAAGAGAAAGAGGAAAGGGAGGATAAGAAGGCATACAAAAGAACATTAACCCACACACCCAAAAAGCTAAAGACGGAGAAAAAGCCATCCTTTTCCTCAGAAGCTGATCCTGACCTAAACGAAACAATTATATGCGGGTCGACCGACTTCAAATCTCTACAGAAAAAGGTTGTGGCTAATATCAACACCTCGGCCAAATTGGACTTTGATGCGCTGCAGTCCATCGACCCTAAGACAGTGTGGGAAAGTGGTGTGCCGGCTCCTGCTGATGAGATTCTGGTGCAAGTGTGTAAGAAGTGCGAGAAATTAGGTGATAATGTTGTGAAGACTGTTTGCACTCCTTATACTCGCCTAAGGTATGTTGTTTGTCGGAGAGATCTGTGTTCTTTATTACCTGATATTTTATACCGTAAAAAAAGGAAAAAAAGAATCCAAAGATTAAACATCATCAGTGTATGTGATCCCCTCACTCCCTTCTTAATGGAAATAAATATTTAGTTCCTAAGTAGCTCCTTTTCAAACAAAGAAAAAAAATTTATAATCAAATCATAATGATAATGGTGATGATGTTGATGACGATAATCCAGTACATCATTAAAGAGGCATTTTCTTACCCTAACTCTTTTCCCCTAAAGCTGTATCAACTAAAGAGCAAACTGGCCACATCAACCTCCGATGCAATGACAGACTTTATGCGATGGCATCCCTCTACAACTGTGACACAAGCTCTCGTTCCTCTTTTGCAATATTGCCCTAACATGCAAGAGCAACACAGGGATGCCCTAGCTCAGTTAATACAAGATTGTTCAGCATCTTTAGTTACACAGATGTTAAGGTTAGTTTTTTTCTTTTTTTCTTTTCTTTTC